ATATATATATATATATATATATATATATATATATATATACATATATATATATATATATGTATATATATATATATATATATATATATATATATATATATATATATATGGATAGGTAACTGGGTATAAACTCGTTGCTATATTCACACAACATTGGATATCCAAATCAGTATATTGTAATTTTATATTTTATATCTTTCATGATCATGTCTCAGGAGATCTTGATTGCTTATATTCATAATTTTCTGCGGCTAGGACTACGTCGGTCACAGGAGCATCTTAGACCCTTGCTCTGGAAAATATTACTGGGACAACTTCCAGCGGACACTCGGATCTGGCCGAAGGCATCAGTAGATGTGAGTTATCGTGTGTATTCGGGGATTTAAAAAAAAATTTCGCGATTGAGTTCAAGACTGAGAACTCTAATTTTCCAGTTGAAAGCGCTCGCTAGATACAAGTTTTCTCGTATTTATATGCTTTGTACTTTTTCGAGTCCTGAACTGTATGATGTCTTCGAATATGGTTCACCGTGACTCATTTTCGAGCGCAGATTCCTAAAGTGAACCAGACAAAGCTCAGTGCTTGTTATTCAGCGCGGTAGCATGTAAATCTATTAATGAATGGAAGGGTCTTATCAATTCTACAACCGTTCCTGGTAACAGGATCGGGCAGCGTATAAGAATCTGCTCGCAGACGTGATTACACAGCCGGTTGACGAGGATGGCTCTGCGAAGTCTGATCATGTAGGTTGCCGTATAGTTGATTGAGGGTTTATGGAGCGTGAGAAGGTTCCGGATGTGTCGGATGTGTGTCGTTGTGCTCCTCAACTGTTACTTATCTTCATTTGAGCGGGAATTATTTGAGTATCGTTTGCGTCGCTGCATCTGTCAGACAAGCAACGCACCAAGATATATTAGCGAAGGTACGGCATGGGCGACTAGTGTATTGTAGGCGCTGCAATCGTTGCTTGCCAAAATACCTGTTAGGCACTTCTGGTGTACCCATTTGCACGTATCGTAGACTTGCCAGCGTAGGTTTTCAACGTTCTCTGATTAGTGTTGTGTTACTTCGACTCTCCCCACCGGCAGCCGCTGAGCAGCAATGATGATAGCAAATGGCAGCAATACCTCAATGACAACAAACTTATAAATACGATCCACAAAGACATACGGCGGATTTCGTCAGACTTTGCCTTTGTGCGAGAGTGGTCAAGGTGAGTAATTTGTGCTTTGCGCTTGCGATGTATCTACTTGTGCACGTCCAAGTTTTTTTGTCATAGTAAGAGATTGGTGGTCGTTGGGAAAAGGAAGGACGCTGTGCCTTGCGACTGTCATTCGTATAAGGCGTACTGTGAGTGCCCTTCAACGTTATAGGACGATGCCAAGAATCGCGGCTGCTGATACAGAATCAATCTCCAACTTCAGAAGCTTGCGACCGTTTGGGATTAGCCGCACGCACTATTGTATATCTTTCTAGTTAGCTTGTCGGAACAGGCTACTCTCGCACAAGATTTGACATTTTTTTGTTATCACACCTTGCAGGACACCTCCACCCATACCGATCCCGTTACATACGAGGTTAGAGACTCACAGTGAGAACGAGTTATCGCCGTCTCATTTCATGTACAGCCCCGCTTCCACACGGGACGACTCTGATAAGCAGCCAGTAGCCACGGGGGAGGCAGACGCCCTTTCAACTGCTGTTACACCTACAAAACGCGGAAGAGGAGAGAGAAATGTAGTAGACACTGACACGGAGGCTGTTCGAGCTGCCAACGAAGAGGGCAATGGGCAAGTCATGAATAGAGAACGGCGAGAAAAGCACTGGGAAGTAGTGGAAAGGATTCTGTTTGTATATGCAAAGACCAACGTGGGTGTCGGGTATGTGCAGGGGTTGACAGATCTGGTGCTACCTCTCTATGCCACCATGTCACTTGCGACGGATGAGCAGGATCATGTGACTCTGCCTTCGAGTGAGTCATCTGATATTGCCACGACGAAGACTGGTAACACACCGCAGAGTTCGCCTCTAGCTAAGGCCAAACACACCGATGATGAGGCAACTCCCACTGCCACGCCAACGAAGATGGCAGCAGCAGTCTGCCCACACGCAGAGTGCGATACGTTCTACACCTTCACCATGCTCATGGGTGGACAACGCAACAACTTTATACATGCGCTGGATGATACGGAGCTGGGTATTACTGGCCTTATAGAACGTGTATCTGTCCTGCTCAAGGCTAAAGACCCAGAGCTGTCCATGTCGCTCGAAGACAAGGGCCTGCTGCCACAGTACTACCTTTTCCAGTGGTTGTCGTTGCTGTTTACGCGGCAGTTCCCCATTACGGGTGTTGTCATGGTATGGGATCGATTGCTGGCCATGGACGATCCCTCTGACCTCTCTGTGTACATGTGTATTGCCATGGTCATGAATCTGCGCAATGTACTGATTTCCTCAGAATTCAGTGACGCCGTCACCCTGTTGCAAAACTTCCACACAAACAATCCCAAGCGGCTCATCAAGTTCGCTTTCAGCATGTATCTGGCCGACGATCATGGTCGCAATGTAAGGCGAGTATCAGGTGATCTTCTTGAGCGTGCTTTAAGCTCCAGGGGCTCTTCGGCGGAAAACAACGGCAACAGCCTAGAGAGGTCAGAGTCCAACAGCAGCATGTCTTCCAGTGGTCGTCAGTCACCTCTGTTCGGTTCTCTGTCGTTTGTCGGTGGATCTACCTCCAGCACAGGTTCGTCCACCACATCACTGAAGAACGCAACCAGCTCGGCGAATACAAGTGTGGCCGGTATGATGCAGGGCTTGAGCTGGGGGTTCACAGCCAAACTCACAGCCGCAAGCACAAAGCTGACTGAAGTGGCGGGCAGCGCAGGCCAGCGGCTGCAGAGTCTTGCCACGTCCGCAACGGAAAGCTACAGCGGGGGTAGCTACCCAGGGAGTGATTCTGTACAAAAGAATAGCCGGGGAGCCAGGCTGCAGAGAGATGCTCGCGCAAATGCCTATAGCCGACGGACTCAACCTGCCAAAGGCGGGAGTAGGGAGGGGGCGAAGGACGTACATGACATTCAAAGCAGCCAAACCAAGTCTAAGAGGAGCTCTACTTCGCATTCGAAGTCCAACAGGCAAAGCGGCACGGGTGGCGATAGCCATACATGGGGCAGTCGGAGGAGTACTTCAAAGATAAATCACGAGATCTCAATGTCGGAGATGAACGAGGTGTCTCGCGGATCTGGCGGGAACTCCCAGAAAAGTAGTGGTATGGTGTTGGGTATGGGCTCGATGGACGCGCAGGGTGACGAGCTGGTGGACGGCCTGTACGGTGACTGGCGGCGTCGTCATACTTCCGAAAACTTTGAACTTGCGCCAAATACAGAGGGGCGCGGCTATGTGAATGATACTCATAAGTACCACAAAGATAGTGGGTTTAGTGCAGAAACTAACGATGGTGTTAAATTGAGTTTTAGTGACGATGATTACGTCGATTTCCCGCCTGACTTGCCCACTGCCAGTTTGATCGAGGAGAACGTTTTATTTTCATTTGGGAATGAGGACGACGAGCTGAGCGGGGAAGAGAGCGATGTACTAGTTTAAGTGTAGTGCATAGCGATTGTATCATATGCCGTAAAAGAGATATAGAAAAATTAAAACACTGAACTCCTGTGAATACAAGCCATATACTTGTGGCGCGCTTAGAGTGATTAAAGATAAATTCTCATTGATTTTTACAATTTATTGCATTCTCGATGGCTCAACTTTCTTGAATCGAAGAGTTGTGTAGCTCAATTGCTTTGATTTTCCGAATACGGGGCTCTTTTTTTTTTTTGCGTTCTCGCAACATCTCTGCACGACAAATCATCAATTAATCAATTGGAAGGCTTGGTTTGCAGTTTAGATGACAAGCAGGCGTCAAGGATGTGCTATTCTACAGCATATCTCTGTTTCACCACCCGCTGATATAGCAGAGTTACTTTTAAGGTCTACGTGCACGTTAATGTAGGTCGTAGGTCCGGCACTGCCCTATTGTCAAAAAATTGTGGATATCCACAACGCTTGAGATTTATAGACATGTTTTGCCAATAATTGGCCGAGGTCGATATTGATCTCAGCTGTGCGACTACACATCCTCACGTATTGAAGCCTATAGATATGAACTGTTCAGCTTGGTACCTAAATGGATGTCTGCTCTTCGGAATCTGCCTGAATATCGCAAACCTGTCATTATACATGCACTTCAGCATAATCGTGACATTTCTTACCCAATTGTCGATTACAAATACAGGCTCAGATCGTTCAGTGTTGCTAATTGCCCACGAAAGTGTTTTGCCTGCACTTATTCGCAGGATCAGTTAATTTGCGATTGCTTCTGTATGAACGAATGTGCTCTTCTTCTCCACCGAAGACATCAGCCTGAACCCTACCCCACTGTCTAAGGAACTCCTTCTTCTTTAGTCTGGCGGAATCAGGAGCTGGCTTGCTGTCCAGTACAATCTACAGTAAGGACAACAGCAGTTGATCGACGTCAGAATATGCGACGAGCTACATAGTACCGGATTACTTTGCCAACACGAATGTACAGGCCAAACAACTTGCAGTACAGTTTCATAATCGCTTGCTGTGATGAAATATTCGACTAGCATAGCAAAGGTGTATTGAAAAGAATTTAACTACTCCGCACCTCAAAACACAAGATGTGGGAAATTATGTTTTTGTAGTTCTGATAGATGAAACATTTACCAAATAATTTGCTCCTGGCATGTCGTACGATACGGGATAAGCAATTATACCGACACGGAATGTAGTGTGTTTTCCAATCGAAATCTCGCGTGATCATTTTTATCACGAGCGCTGCATTTTTATCCTGAAAATTTGTGCACTCGTCGGTTCGATTTATTAATTGCGACACACTTACCTGAAGTTGTTGAATACGATAAAGGTGCTTTTCTTTCATCAGACAGCTATGAGTACAGTCCAGCTTATCATCGGTAGTGACACGACGACCGAGGACATCTATGCGACAACGATAGATGCAAAATTCCGTGAGAAAGATAGACAATTCAATATTGTACACTTATAGATGATTTAGTTACTTGTTCGCGAATTACTTGTTCGTGAATAGCAAGACAGTAGCATACAACAGCATCATCACATTTGCATAAACAAACAAAATAGATTGAAGTCATCTATGAACATACCGCGGGGACCCAAACGGGCGAAGGCATCCCACAACGGTGAAATCTGTAGAAGATTCTCGCGTTGGAGAGTTTCCAAGCGTGCCCGCAGTCGATCGTTGTATCTGTTGGCAATCTTAGATGTGTTCTTCCATGTCTGGATAGCGGTGCATAATATGTTGTAAACTTTCTGAGATATGCGTGTAAGACGTACGAAGATTTCTAGATTTGCAATATGAACTTTCGGTGTGTGAAAACAATTCCTATTTAAAAAAAAATAAAGCGAAGAATGGGAAGGCCTTAATTCGATAGTATATGAATGAATAGAAGATCAACAAGCATTCAAAAGAGGCTGGAAGCATACATCGATATCTAAAGCATGGCAAGAGTCCTGGCCTTCCCCTTTTGTGTCCTCATCTGGAGGTATATACACTCCCCGGTTGAAATATTGCGGCTCAGTCTCCACCCATATCAGGGAAGCCTGAGGTCTTAATTCGTAAGTTGGAGGCGTAGTTATAAGAGATAAATCGCTCACAAAATTGTCTACCAAATGCGGTTGGTGGCGGGAAAACTAGCTGTAACCACTCACAGTAGCGCGGAATAGGGGCAAACTGGAACGATACAGCAAGACTGTAGAGTATTGTTGGCGTAATCAGAAAACATATATACCAAGGGGTTTGACTAGATTCTCAAAAATACGGCACTTACTCGTATTTAGGTTCATGCAGCAAGGCTTGTAGTTGCTTCATTGAGTAATCGAATGGACCTGGACTTATTCGATAGTGGATTCCTGATTGGAAATGACGGAACAATTTTACTATTGAATACGTCGTTCACCGTACTTGCAAAAGATCATGTGAATCAGAAAATTCAGAATTGCTACTCACATTCAGAATCTTCAGCCAGTGGTACCTCGAAGTAATGCACAAAAGCATACAACCATACCGAAATTAAGTATTATGACGTCATCCACAGTGCTGGACGATAGAGCCTGCCCTAGGATTGTAGGGAGATGGTGTCCGAAGTTAGCGGTTTTATAGTTGACCCAGCAGACCGTGGCACCTGTTGACGCCCATCCACTGCAGAAACCTCTGTCTTGCTTGGTGCCCTCACTCACCATTACATCGTACGGATAGTCCCACGCCTGTCAAATAATATACAAGCCAACAACTGAGAATTTTACAGAAGAGCCTTTACTTGCGAAGAACACGCACAAGTTCACTACATTGAAAAAGAAATACACGAGGACTAGAGATCTTAAAAAATCAACGTTGTGACTGCGCACATATATATATATAATTGGAAGGCACGAAGATTGAAATACGCAGACATTCTACAGCTGAGAATGGGGTCGCATCATCGATTTCTCTTGCTCATTTTCACATTGCTAGTATGTCTTGCCCAAAGTGTCCATGTACATTACCTCTGTGAGGAGTGCTACAAGCCCAATCGCCGCGGATCTGTGATGAAAACCAGCTTGAAACATTAAGTAGACGAGTTCTCCGATAGTATCAGTTGGCATTTGACAATTCTGGCATGCACAAACCCAGCAGAATTCGATGATGCTGTGTAATATATATATATATATATATATATATATATATATTATTGTGGTTTGCGGGTTGGTGACCGCGTTTTACCTACGGATCACTACCGAAATTGATTTAACCGTCTATTGTTTGATCTGATTATTTATTGAAAACACAGACTGCTTGCTCGTGAATAAATTGAGGATCACAGTTGACATACCTCATAATAGAATCTCCGATCATGATGACTCGACGGCCCGCGAAGCTCTTCGCATTCACTGTGGGTAATGCACAATCCGGAGGGAGATAAATCTGGAGCGCTTCATCGTCTTTCACGGTGCAAAACTCTGGATATTTCAGCCCGAACCGTTTGTAACACTGTCAGAAGTAGTTTTTGGAATATAGTAACATACATAATTTCAACTTATGAAAATCTCAAGGTGAAGGAATATGATAAAGATTTATGTAATGCTTCCCTTTGGTATAGTATGAGTGGATACAAGCATGGTGTATACTGATGTTGTACAGCTGACTGATAAGATATGAGTATATAGATACAATTTACCGCACCCGAACCTATAAGATAACTTAAACATATACGCATTGGATATCCGTACAAAGATTACAGCAGAGGTCCATACCCTGAAGAAACGGAAGACTTATGTAAATATAGATGCACGCCAAGTACCGTAACACAGATGACAGCATCAAAATGCGAGAAATTCGCGCAGTAGAATCCGAGACTCTTTCTGAAGATTTGGTGTTAAACTTACGGGACGAAGCGTCTCCTGATAAAGCTTGCGTGATCGAGCTCCTAACCAGTATGGGGATCCTTCTTCCTGTGGAACTGCGGCCCATTCCCCTCTGCCAATCAAGGCATCTGTATTGAGAAGTGTGGAATACATGCAAATTTCTAAGTGAGCTGAGACATTTAACTTCTTAAGCTCGACGGGTACTTAGAGTGATAGAAGCAAGGTATAATACATTCGCTTTGAAAGCTTTCGTTAAGCAAGGCACAATACATCCCGCTGAAAGCTTTAACTAACTCGTACCGACTCTCATCCGAAGGCAAATTATTGGTGGAGAGCTATCGCTAAGAGCTGCGCGATTTGAACCTGACCTGCGTATGTTGAATAGCAAAATGGGTTCAAATGTATTTGGTACAGATACGCACAGATTGAGTGTGCGTGAAGTATCCTGATTTGCTAGACGAGCGCGACTTGGCTGCGCACATAATGGACATTTGTCGGCTGCTACATTTTATGTTGTCATTTTGTACTAAAACTTGGTACATAGCTGTATGCACTTCTTACGGACAGAAGCCGACGATTTCGGCTTCTAATTAGAAGTGAAACAAAAAAATGCTAGAATTCTCTTTTCAAATCTGACAAGAATCTAAAATTGAGTACTTTTACATACAACTCTTCAAATACTATACCACCGGCTTCATCAAACATATAGCCACAGGTCACACGCACCGTGGCAGGTATCGCACAATCACTCATTAACGCACAAGTAATATGAACATTGCATACTTTCAAGGTCACGGATTCCACAAATTCTTCTTGTCTGTCGCCTTAATAGTATTGCCTCAAGCGCAGTGTTGTTGTTAGTATTATGCATTAATACGTCGATACTCTTTGGTTGTGTTGCGTTTATTGTATTTGACGGTGAGATACCTTTATCACTGGTGGTGCCAATTCTAGTCTGAGCATTCGGTATGAGTTCTTTTTGAGCATCGATTCCACTAGTACCCTTTTTGTTTCCACGCTGTATACTATTTGAGTCAGCGTGTTTAGCAGTCTGTGCCTGATTTTCTGTCGCATGGTAAATGACTACACTATCTGATTTCTCGATACCCACCTCATTTCCACTAACACCCATAGTTGCTGCTTCAATCGATGAAGTGGAGTCGGTGGAGTGTGTTGCCTGTGATACAATAGTCTGTGAATATTTCAGTGACGTCGAACTCTCAAAGGAAGCAGGTGTGGGCTTTAATGCATATATTGCATTTTGGCTTTCCCCCAAGATTCCAATGGTGTACACTATTAAGCAAACTGAGACAACCAACAAGCCCAGCCCAAGTGGCCATCGAGTCAATGTCTTCGAGATCATCGTGAGTGATGTTGCCAGATTGCGTCAGTGTTCAATCACGTACGCACATCACAGGGCTCAAAGAGTTGCGCAGTGTAAACTGATGAGTGCGTCGTTATGACAACACGTACAGTTGCATACTCTCTATTTAGGTAAATATCATTTGCATTTTGCAAGAATTTAAAAAAAAAATCTCCCGATACATACTGAATATATCTATATATATTAACTTGATATATTGGATATCATCTGAGTTTCGACTTTGGTTGTGAATTCCGCAATATCTTCGGATGCGCAGGTTCGAGTCCTGCACCTGTCATATAATCTGCAGGTTGGCCGAGTGGTCTAAGGCGTTGTGTTTAGGAAACGATCTTTTTTTAGGGGGGAGATTTGAGGCAGGGCAGCGCAAGGAGGTTAATATCATAGCCTTCTAAATTATACAGTTATTGGGGATATATCATAGTCTTCTGAATTATACAGTTAAATGTATCATAGCTTGCTTGTATAATTCAAAAGACTATGGTTGTAATTTTATTGATACTATCTATGTCCTGGTCTTAGCTTCCACAATTGAAAGCGCCGTTGGGGTTAAATTATTTCGTCCAGAGTTATACAGTTATGGGTGTTTATATCATAGCTTTCTGAATTTTTTATACAGTTAATATGATCGCCTTCTTGTATAATTCAGAAGGCTATGGTTGGTTATATATAT